AAAGTGAAATCCTGAAGATTCTACCACTAATTCTCTACATAATAGGTGAATTTGTGGAAAATGGTACTCAATTACAGAACAGAACTGGCCTTCAAAGCAAAAGTTTTTTCAACCTGTCTGCCTTGCTGTAAAACAAATTCCTTAGAGATGCAACAACTCTGGTACCCATTTGTTGCTCATTAATTTGCACATACTCTAGCATGAATTTCAGTGGAAAAAGCAGCATATCTACTGTATATCTGAAGTCCTTTAAAAGAGATGGAATAGTAGATTCATACATACAGTCCAGATGTTCAGTTGGATGGACTCAAGCTTAGGTTATATGTTGAAAAGAGCTTGAAGATTATTGAAAAATGCATAGAAATAATTGGATTCCTAATAAATGCTGTCTAATTCTGAAACATGCTCAGTAATTAAGAGGGAACCCAGTCCCATATGTAGATATACTTCTTAATTATGATGTTCATCATAACTAATTCAGCTCTCATTGATTTCAGTGTTTTACTCCATTCGTCTGGATCCAACTCAGAATGGCTACAATGGGTTTCAAAGCCAAGTATATGTAGTAGAAAAGCAAATTAGAAATAATATATTACTTCTTATATATACATTATTTCCTGGTGTTAACATCCAATATATTTATTTCCGGGACAATGTTTCATAGTCTTATGCAACTTTTATTACCATGAACTGTGCTATTTTAAACCACTAGCAGATGTTTACTTGATACCTCTTTTAGTTAGGACCTTGGACTTGCATGGAATGATTTAAATAGATCTTCCAGTCCATTGGCGCTGTTGTCATAGATGATTGCTTTCTTCGTACCCCAAGTTTTTGACCTGAGCTTACACTCTTAAATATTTTATATTATACAGCTGGCCAAAGTCTGTGCTATTGCTTGTACGACCCAACACTGGAGGGCTGAGTAACTTTAAGTGAGCTTTTGTCTTTCTTGTTGATGTGAATATCTGTGGAATATTTTAATACAGTAGTTGTATTCTTCCATATATAGATTCTATATGTTCCTGAGAAGAACCTCCAATACTTTGGAATAAGGTTGCCACTTGGGAGAAAATCTTTTTGGTAGTGGTATTCCAGCTATTGAACAACTCCCAAGAAAGTCTGCCTCATGCTGTCTTTGTGGTCTTTTCAAAATCAAATGAAGACCATCATGTACAAATTCAGTAAATCCAGACATCAGAATGCATCTGCTGAGATAAGATTCCTCAGCTGTCCCAGGATTCTAGAATTCATGTTACTTTTATACATGATGATCTCAAAATCCACTGCCATAGTTACTTGCCTATCTATCAACTAGTAATTACTTAATTCATCTTCCATATGGAACTGTAGATTGGTAGAAGCCCTGATTGTACCAATAAAAGCTCATGTTGAGAATATTATTAATACTTTTATTGTAGCCTTTTTTTACATACTGACTAGAACGCCAGAGTTCAAATATGTTGGATGCTGGTATAAAAATAATCCAATTTTTAGAAATTATACTTTGGAACTACATTATTGTATAATTAGTGGAGGTTGCAAATAAGATATGATTTTAAATAACACTGTGTTGGAAAATTAAAATAAACAAAACAAAACAGAAGATATGTTCACAGATATGCAAAGCTGAACAATGTACAATAGATAATTACAAGTCAGTAATGGTCAGTACATTCAGGGTCATCATGGAGAAAAACAGCAAGGCATTATTTCTCTTTGAAGGTATCATATGCAGCTTTGAGCCTGATCTAATAAAAGTGACAAATGTAAATTTTATAAGAAAACAAAAAGACTGAGAAGGTTTCATGTAAAACTAACATTAGGTTCAAACTTTTCACATACTCATATAGAAGTTATAATTTTAATAAATGGTTTAAGATTGTACATGTTTCTCTAAAGGACGTTCTGTGAAGCAAACTGATTTCATAGAAATCAGTGCTTATTATTCTTGCAAAAAATATCTGAGTTATAAATTTGACCAAGAAAACAGGGACAGGCAGTTTTTAATGCAATTGAGGTGAGGAGGGGGCAGCAGTTGATCACCCCTGAATTAAAGTTCCCATACTCATAAGTATTTATGTTACAATCAGAAGGTCAGGCCCCCCAGGGAAAAAAATTCTATTTGGTCTGATGGGACTTACTTTATGTAAGTACATAGATTCATAACCTCAATTATTTTGCAAAATACTATAACCTCAAAATAGTCAAGTTTGCCCCTTTGTAAAAAGTAAATAAATAAAACCCAATTTAGGTTTCTAAATGTCAGTTTCAGCATATTGACATGAAACAATGATAATTCAAGACAATCAGCTGGAAAAATCCAATTATTTCAGCTAAATAAATTAATAACTAGTTTGGCTCCCCTTTATGCAGGGAAGGTGTTTTTTTTTTTGTTGCTTGGCAACAAAATTAAACTCCACAGAGCTTCCACTGTTATCATCTTTGAAGAATACATTTGCAGTGGAAATATATGCCTACTTATGACAAGTTAAGAAATTGTTATAGTTCTCCCCAAGGAAATATGAGAATGGTGGTTTGCCAAAATTACTAAGAATTCACTGTATGAAACCTGTCCATCTAAGCACAAAGCTACAATCTCCAGGATGTCTACTGGCAGAATTCCCTTAGTAAGGTCAGGGATATAATGGATTCAATTAAGGGACTGAAATTTTTGTTTAAATTTGTGATGTAAATTGATGGTGTAAGCAACAGTTCAGTTGTTTAAACTAAGGGAATGACACCTTTCTAGGAAAGTGAACACAGAACACAGTTGGCTCTTCCTACCTAAAAACAAAGTCCTGCTTGAAAGACTTAGGCCCTTCATGTTGTTCATGGAGCTATCAAGCAGATGGTTTGAACTAGCAGCGCTGTTACGTCTGGCAGTACTGACCATCTCTTCAGGGCATATGTATGCTGTCCTGATGTAGCCCAAATCATAATGTGACTTCATGCTGGATAGGCTCTCCCCTTCCCCCCAAGTCATTTCATGCATGTGAATCACTTTGGTTGGATCCAATGATTCACATTTATACTTCCTGTCAGGCAGGATCAGCTTTGGGGAAAACCTTCAGATAATGGAGGGTTTTCTACAGTCTGAAGTTCATCAAGCAGCAAATCTCAGTACAGAAGGCAGCAATCTGAACTGCACACAGTTAAATATAAATACTGCTGATAATGTTGTTCCTACATCATTTCATAAATGGAACAGATACATTGTGCCTGAAACAAAATGGAACAGACTGCTTAGTACAGTTTCCCTCAACCTGATGTGTTCCTGGTGTTTTAGGAATATAACCTTCAGTTATAATCCCAGCATAGGTTGGGGAAAAACTGCTTAGTCTGTCTTGATTATGTGCCATCAAGTCAGTGTCATCTCTTAGTGACTACATAGATTTTCTCCATGACGATCAGTCCCTAACCTGGTCCTTCAAGTCTTCCAATGGCGCACCCATTACCACCATAACTGGCTCCATCCACCTTGCTGCAGGTCGCCCCTTCTCTTTCCTTCCGCCTCTCCCATCATTAGAGCCTGCTTAGTCTATAAGTAGAAGAGGACCAATATGCAGTTAGATGTACAGATGTGGCTGCTTTAGTTTTATCTTAGCCTCTTGAGCTGATCAAATTCTCCAGAAATACCATGGGAAATTGTTATAATTCCTGGATTCCCAATATAATGGCCAGGGACAACAATGTGCCTTTTGATGCCCACCAAGCTTCCTTCCCTAATTTTTTTCTTCTGGATTTTAATTTTGAAACAATGTATGTGAAGCTAGTCTGCTGCAAAGCAAAGTAGCATCCTACAACATAACTAATATTTCTGATAATGTCTCAGACCCCAGAGGCATTCTTAATAAATAAACTGGTGGATGGATGTACCTCACTGCCCTGCCTTTTGTATTTTGTGACTAGCCACTTGTTATTTCATGAGTGTCCATAGTATGCTCCCAAAATGTCAACAGTGCTAAATTGACTACTCTGATTACAGAGTTAGGTATAGCCATAGAGGATAGTTCCACTGGTAATTCACGGACTTCAGAGATTATTCAGTTCTGAATAGCCAGTCCTCCAGGCAAACCAGATGTGTCAGCCTCTATCATGCATGCCTTCATCTGCATCATTGGATAACTTTGAGTACTTTTTTGTACAGTGTTTCAGATAGGAAACTACTGCACAAGGTATGCACAGTCTGCTCCGCTGTGACTCTGAAGGACCAAAGTTGAATTGATCACATGGTCCCCTGTTCAATCTGCTCACGCTCTGTACTGTTCTAATGCATTTATATAAACTGCGCACCCAGTCTCTCCCCATGCATGGATATTCACGGTTAAGTTCAAGTTCCACTCAACCATTCCTGCCAACTTGCCACACCTTGACAAAGATCTCCTTTCAGAATAGCACATGTTTAAAACAGGTATCAAAATTCCCCAGTGTTTTTTTTAAATAAACCAGGAAATGTTATAAAGAAGTATATGAGCATTTACATTAATTAACATATGAGATTAAGCTGTCTTGCATTATTTCCTGATAGTACATTTTGTCCCTTACACAATCTTTATTGTGAAATGATGTAGGAGCAATTCTGGAGAAGTGGCAAAACTTTGCCGGGATTTGGCCAGTATCACCTATTACAGAAGATTGTATAGCATGCAAATGACCTACACCCTCACTACATTTGGACATTAGGAAGGAGCAAAAAATCCACAGAACATAACTATGCAAGAATATAACTGTTTGTAACTGGCCTGTTGTGCATAGGGAAGAATGAAAAAGGGTAATGAGTTATGCTACAAACGTAGGGCCTAAACAAATAACAGGACAGATCATGAGGGATTTTTTTTTCCTTTCTGGAGAGGGATAAAACTCCACTTTGGATTCCGCATGAGGATCCCATATCTCTAGGCCATATTCCCGTACCCATCTCCACCGCTTGGTGAGCAACATGCTGTGAGTACCTCCTAGTAGACACCTGGCAATAGAGGAAGGGCTCTTTCTATAACATTCATCCAAGCCAGCTTTGCATAAAAAGTGGGCAATACAAACCTAGCACACTAGATACTATCTGTAAACACAACACACCCTAGTGGCATCAGATTTAGCGTGTCATCCACAGTGTTTGTTAGTTTTGCTTTCATGATCTAGTATTATGTTCACATTATGTGACACGATTAGTGGTGAGGAAAATACACAGAATGAGCTTCTCCCTTGTCTTTCTGACACCCAGCCATATGGACTTGCTTTTCACACCTGCCTTCTTTTTGCTCTTCAGCAATAGCTAGAGATGGCTCCTTGTGGGCAGCTCTGTCTGAGGTTTTCCACAGGTTCAAAGTCCCTTCCTGTACACAGTTGTGACAACATCTGAGTTGTCTGATGACTGCATACTCAGGAAACACATTGTGTAAAAAGGTTCCATTTGCCTTCCAAGTGCCCTTTTCACTTGCATTAAAAATAATCTCTTCTTCTGCTGTCATCACTAATGAAGGATGGATTATATTGTCCAGGGTAGATACAGGAGTGTCGAGATCCTGGAAGACCTGTGTAGGGGGGATAGACTCCATTTCTTTCTAGTTCAGGATTCCTTAGATTCGTTGGCTAAAAGGAGAGACATTTGGACAGAAAAGAAGGAAAGAATAATTCAACAGTTGCCATTGTTTTAAATGGGCAGAACTAAATATTACACAAGTGGAGTTTCTGTGGCAGGCTTCCTCCCCCCACCCCTCCCCTTGCCTTTCAGCTTCTTATGCTGTTAGAAACGGAGGGAATTGTACCTCCTCATCATTCTTCTATTGGAAGGCATTCTATAATAATGAGAATTGAATTCCAACCCCATGGGATTTAAATATTAATATAAGTGGAAAACATTATACTGTCTAAAAGAAAACCAAAAAGTGGTCAAAGAAGCAGGGGGATATATGCACATATATGAAATCACTTAATATGATACTATTCTTCTCTCTATTATCTAACCTAGTTAAACATCTTTGGGAATTGAATAATGCAAAGGAAATGTATTCCTGATCAACAATCAACAACTTGGCAACGAATTTAGGACTATTTTAAAATTAAAAAACCCAAAGAAATAAATTCTAATACTTATAATCATATGCAGGCAAAGCAGTGGATACCTACAATCTGCAACACTTAAACATCATTGAGGAAGCTGTTGCGGCTGCCAATCCAAGTAAACAAAATCAGTCAGTATGAAATACTGTATTATATATCATCTCATAACCTTCATTTTGTTCATTTCTCAGCGATCGCTGTATTTTCATTTTGTGTTAAACAACTGATAAGAGAATCCTATTTTTTATCCTATCTCTGTCTGGATCATTGCAAAATGCCTCTCTTTCCCAGACTTTCATTAAATGTAGGAATATGTACCATGTAGTAAACATCTGTCATCTGTAACAGGTTTTTAGTACTCCCATTCTCTTGCATTTCAATGGTTTCTCTGCCCCAGTCTTGAACACGAGGGTTTTTGGGATATTCAGCATACGGTGACATCTGGAAGTCTCCACTTTTGAAGATGAGTTTGCTTATATCATTTTTATTCTTTCTGAAAAGAAAAATATATTTATGTGCAGGCCTATCCCCTCCGTTCAAAGTTAGTGTAGACTGGAAAACTTGGATTCAGAATGCCGACTCAAACATACATTGGGTAGAGGATTATAAAAGGTCATTCTCTCTTAGCCTAATTTACTGATCACAGGATTGTGGCTAGGATATAATACGTTGCCCTAAGCTCTTTGGACAGAAGGCAGGAAAACAAGAACATCAAACTCTGTTCTTTAAGAAACATGAAATAAATAATCTCCAAAACTAATTTCCTCTGTTTAGTATTGGAATATCTGCTTATTATTGCCAACACATTCTTCTTGACATGGTTGAAACCTTTTTCTGTCAGCTTGGACCTTCCTGATTTTTGCAAAGCTAACTGTTTTTTAAACATGCAAAGCAAATTGATCCATAAAGATGTAATCATTATCAGACATTTTCCAAATTAACAACTGGCTTTATTTCTCATTTACGTTATTTAAGCAGGATTTTTTTTAAAAAATCAGAGAATGAGACATTTATGGTACTTACTGGCAGCACGTGACTATGAGAGCTATTCCCATGATAAGCAGAAGTCCCCCTCCAGCTGCTGCGATCACAATGGTGATCAGCTGGTATGCTAAAACAAAGAACAGACAATGTTAAGTACCATTACCTTTTTCTAGAATAACTAGCAATAAGCTGAAAAGTGGCTGTCAGTTTCCTGTTTCCTGTAAAAAGTCCCTTAGCTGTAAACTCTGAACTATGTTGCAGTCATGGAATGTTTATCTCTATCCAGTGTTAGAAGGAAAGATTCAACCAGATCTTGGGACAGTTTGGCTGTAAGTTTTGGTGATGTTAATAAAATCTAATTAAAATATTAGGTTGTTATACTGTTCTCTTTGGGCACGTCCCTTAAAGACAGTCCAAAAACTTTGGCTAGTTCAAAAGGTTGTAAGGCAATAGGGTTTGGCAGTCACATTATTTCAAGACACCTGCAAAGGAAGACATTCAATTTCTGATCTCAAGTAAATGTCTGAGTCTTGTTTTGGAATATAAACCATGAGGAACCAGATCGCCAATCTATCTGAATCCTCCAAATTTAGGATATCCTTCAGGCTTATTTAGGCTTATTTGATTTAGGGAGCGCTACATGCAAAGCTTTTTCTGTCACAAAGAAAGGACTCTAGAGTGCCACTGGATCAGAATCCCATATTATGTCCTATCACCTTTCTAGGGTTCTGTTGAATTTCTTTTCTTTCTTGTTTAAATTGTGCATTCAGTAATCACCAGGATCCACCTCAATGAGACACTTGGGAGCCACAGTCATCTCCCTCACAAAGCATCTTGTTTCAACTTGAAGGCTGCTACATCTGCGCATAAGCCCATTTTCTCCACCACACTAACATGACTACTCCAGGCCTCCAATCAGAAGTGGGTGTGATGTCACTTCAGAATTTTGTGTCAGGTAAATCTTTTGCTTAAGCCTTTGACAAAATGAAGCATCTTTTCAAAGATCCACACACCAGAGTCAGTTGGAATCCAAATGGGTGAATGAATGAATGAATGAATGAATGAACGCACGCACGCACGCACGCACGCACACAGAGGAAGAGAGAGAAGGTTAAGACAAAGTTATAAATATATTAATCAGCAACCAAACCTGGAGGAATTGCAAATTTTGAATACATATATTTAAATTATCTAGGTTTAGCTACTTTTGATGTAAATATTTTCTAAACTGGTTTTATATAACTATATGTGATTTATCATTGATGAGTTATCACTGATAACCCTATAATGGAAGGAGGTATTAAAATTAAGGAATACAAATAAAACCAGATGGAACAGGTAAGGACACTGGACTGGATACGTACGATTCCTACAGTTGAATCCTCCCAATCCAAATGGACAACTGAAAAGAAAACAGTGGTGATAGTGTTTTAGTCTCTTAAGTATGAATCCACAGCCTAGAAAATGAGGGGAGTGGAAAGGACCGCTCTCCTGTCAATTCTAACTCTAAAGCTCTGCCTCCTCCCGTGGGCTGATTCATCTGAGACTCACCAGCACCCTGGGATTCTCGTTTGTTCCTCAAAGAGCAACTAATTTTGTATGCAGTCATTCTTACAAGGAGGCCCACCTCATTTCCTCCCTACCCCCTCCTCCATGCAGTGGACATGGGCAGCCGAGGACATCTAGGCTTAAATTCATGTGAGTATATTAAAAACAAAGAAAAATGGTTCCATATTTTTCATACCTCACACAAGTGTCATTCTCAAGTTTATATCCATCTTCACATGCTAAAAATCAGAGAAAGGTTTTTTATGAATAAATACCAATAACTGAAAAAAATATAATGGTTTAGATTCAAAGAATTACTTTAGCTGTACAGTGTAAATGTTTGCTTTTTAAAAAGCTGAGATACTTTGGTCAACACTTTTTCTGCAAATCAGTTTCACATCTGATTTGCTATGAGACAATAGCAGATGTTCTATGGGTTCCATAGAATCAACTGCGCCATTCTTTTAATTCCCAGCAGTGATCCTCAGAAAATACAATGTAAGGACTGTGTAAGATCCTTAATTAGCTAAAGAAGGTAGTGAAGTGAAAGTCTTTACTAATCAATATCTGTCCAGAGTCTTATATATGCAAATAAAATACAATAAGTAGTTAAATGTGTTTAAGCCAATTGACCAGTGGAGGTCAGTATTAACCCACAATAGTGGCAGTGATTAAACATTCAGTATAGGAAAAGTAGGTAAGGAAATCAACAGGAGTTCAGCTCAACTCCAAAACTTCATCTGGGGGGGGAGGGGGGGTTAGAAGACATCAAATAAGCCCTATTTTCTCTTTTGCGGGGAGAAAAGCAGCTTGGAGGTAATTATAGGTAGGAAATAAATGAAGGGAACTTTAGGTAAATGGCTCCCACTCATTTCTTTGCTCAGTCTTTCGGTGGTGAAAATGTTATTTGGGGGAAATAGACACATGTTGGGATGACCAACATTTGAAAAAGAAACCTGCAGTATGGCCGACTGAAATCAATCAATCAATCAATCAGGAGAGCAGCATCTAATCAGATAATTATTACAACAGTCCCCAGTCAAGCAGTTAAGTACTGTATGACTAAACAGATGCTTTTCATTTCAATCCTTCTCTTATCTCTGATCATTCCAAACACTGGTGGTGAAATTCATGAAATTCCTATAAGTTATTCCCTTTGATTCATTATTACTGATTCCTGGTTCAGTACTGAACCATTGAATATTGCTCTCCATACAGTGGAGTCATTCCCTGGATCAATTCCTACAACCCACTGGAGGAGGAGAGCCATGTTAGTCAATGGTAGCAAAACACTCAGGAGGACTCTGGGAGCGCCTTTTCCAACGAACAAATTTTATTTTAAAAAACCCTATCAATCTAGCCACTCCACTAGCTGAAGCTCACAAAAGCTCATGCTTTTTCAAAATAGCATGTATTCGTCAGAAAAGGTGCTCCCAGACTCCTCCTGATTGTTTTGCTTCAACCCAGACAGTGCATCTTGCACATTCACCCTTGTGCGCCATTTGTGTACAGACAACTAGGTCTGTCAGAACAGCCATTTTATTAGCCCTCCCGGCCACCGCAAAGCATACTGAAAGATTTCCTCATCCACTTCCAAGCCCCCTGCCAAAGCCAGAGAGAAAGAAAGATAGAAAATTCCACTGTAACCTAGCTAGGGAGAAAGCACCACTAAACATACCTTCCATCTGCTTCTGTTCATTTTTCACTCCCCCCCCCGCCCCAGTGTAGCTATAGGGGAGAAGTAAAAAACATGACAGAGCACCTGTATAGGCCCCACTTTCATAGGACATTTTGAGTTTCTGTCTTGATCTTGGGAGAAGTAAGGATAGCAGTTCCTATCACATGATTGATTGGCTAGGCTTAGTTGAAACAAATGCACCCCAGGGGACAGCTGATTGGGATGATTAATCCTTTTGGAATTCCCACAATACAGTGACTCCGCCCCAGACATTGACCAGTTAAGCACATCATGAGACTAGAGCAACTGTGTCTAAGCACCACCATTGTCAAATTTGGGGCACTACAATAGAATACTGAGATATTCAGAGAGACTGAGTAATCTATCCATTGCACAGGTATAGTCTATAACCCATTCTCATAACATCCTTAGCCCAGTCAACCACTAACTCTGTCAGTCTTCTTACTGGTAGTTCTGGCAGCACACAATCACACTGAGTCAAAAGTCACCTCTTTGGGAATGCAAAATTCCCACCTAGTTTCTCCAGGAAGCGTCCAATATTCACTTGCAGCAGGAGAGTTCTGGCAAAGCTTCATGATACACTAGGTCTTTTCCCACTGACCAGATAAGCAGCAGTAAGGTGGCCTGGCCACTTTGACCAATTAGTATTTGGGCGGTGTGTCCTGTATTGCCAGGCCTGGCCAATGAGAAGTTGGCATTTTCAGGTGCTCCTTCCCTCCAGCTCTTATTCTTAGAGGACAAGTTCTACAAAATGGGCAATCCCAGATGATAAAAGACCAGAGGTTGTTTAATATCATCAGAGACTGGGTTTGCTTAGCCTAAATTTAAATCTCTGATTCATGAGAGACAATCCTGCTCCCTAGATCTTCCTGATTGTTGTTATCGTTGTTTTATTTTTATTTTTTTCTTGTAGTGAAGTAATTGAGACAAGTGAAGCAAGTCATTTGCCCAAGTTACTTCACTTTAATCACGTTTTGCACTATGGACCCTTTTAATTTTCATGTAATAGATCTTCATAGGCCCGATGGGAGATCTCCTTAGGTAAGAATTGTCAGCTCAGATGAGTCTTCCTTGGAGGAAGACAGACAGACAGGCAGACAGACAGACACACATTTTAAACATGTAGCAAAGAAACAACTAAAACAAGTGTGTGTGCGTGTGTGTGTGTTTAGGATTGCATCCCATTTTTAATTTCCTTTCTAACAGGGATTTATACTATGAATGCCTACAAAATATTTGTGTGGGAAATTTTTCTTAATGTGATGTACTGCCTCCTCTCTGAATTTACATTTTTCTGTTAAATGCCACCAAAATTGTTCTCTTTACCAGAGCTAGGTGGTAAATCTTTTAACGAAAGGTCAGCCAACTAGCAACAATAGTTTGGTTGGCTCAAAGTAGGCAATTAGCTGGTTTAATGACCATATTTGCCCACCCAACAGAAATTACTTTCTGATGTGCAGCTCCATCTTTATATTCTATAAGCTAAAAAACCAATTTCCGCAACCAGATAATAGTAGGTATAACCATATTTTCATGTATTTGGAGCACTGCCATATAGAAGTGCTTCTCTTTTTCCATAGCTGGGTGTAACATTTGGATCAACTTTTAGCCCTGGTGTTTTGGGCATTGTGCCAGAAATAAAGGAAGACGTAGAATGTTAGGAGGGCGAGAGGCAATGGAATGCAGTACTTTTGTGTGCTTCATAATTAGGTAAAAGAAATAAAACAATAGCCCTTTTCATCCTTGTAGAACAAGATACATGTGCCAAGAGGAACCAGAATTCAGTCCTCTTTTATCTGGAATTGTCTTGTGGGACTTCTCTAAAGGTGAACATTAAGACAATGGACTTACACAGCAAGAAAGCAGAAGACATATCTAATAATGGGAAGGGTTAGATACTGAGGGAAGAATTAGAAGTTTACAAGCTGTAGTAATTCTCAGTATTTTCCAATCACAGAATATTCTGGAGACTTCAGAGAGCTAGGCTGAAGATGGTGAGGCTGGATACAAAGACCATGTAATTCTCAGTATTTTCCAATCACAGAATATTCTGGAGACTTCAGAGAGCTAGGCTGAAGATGGTGAGGCTGGATACAAAGACCATGTAATTCTCAGTATTTTCCAATCACAGAATATTCTGGAGACTTCAGAGAGCTAGGCTGAAGATGGTGAGGCTGGATACAAAGACCATGCTAAGCCCCAGTGTGCTTTATTTGGTTTTGGTTTAGTTCAGTGTATGAACCCAATTGTTATGGTTGCAAACTATCTTGTTTGTTGTTATATGTTTAATTTTTTTTCTTGGTATGCTTGCATTTTGTTGTTTTTATCTGGATTGGAGTTGGGCAGCATCTAAGTAATAATAATAATGATATCCAAACTCACTTATAGCTTATTTAACAAATCATACTCACAAAAAACTGGCTTAGCATGATCCAAATCTGTAATCTAGAATGTGTATTTTAGATTGTATTCATGTGAATGTGTAAGTAGTCAATGAATTCTGCAAAGTATTCTGTGATGAAATGGAAATGGAAATGGAAGAGTATTATGGAGGCCATCAAAAATGTTTTCCCTACCAGACTGGATTAGACCCAATTTCATTACAGTATCTCCCAAATATGCAACTTTTCCTGTTTTTCAGTTTTTGTTCGAAATTGAGATTAATAGAAGAGATTGCTATGGCTACAATTGTGAATAGGAAAAAATGGGGTCACATTGCTGAAATCTAGATAAGATTTGAAATTTAGATGTGTTATGGTTCAATCAGCATAGTATTAAATGCCCGCGGAGATGCACAGAGGATAAAGTTTTGTTTTGCCACAAATGGAACGTATTCTGATAAACATTCAGTAAGTCATATTGGCTCAGATTGTGGGTTATTCACTTTGAAAGACAAAAACAATTCATACTTTTCAAACAATGTGAAGGATCCACTGAAAGAGCTTAGAGTCAAGAACAATTAACTTTTTTACTTCCCTTGGAGATCAGACAAAACAGAGACAGAAATAACTGCACTATGTCATCTCTAAAAATTTAATTTTCTTTACAAGAATATCAGACTCCTCCCTGGCCCGCTCCCTTTTATTTATTTATTTTTCTGGCTCTGCAAAAAGATAATATTATTGCTTCACAGAGAGCGGGCAGAAGACAATATCCCCAATATCTCCACTCTAGTTAAATAAGGACTGAGAAACCCAGTAAGCTCTTAATACTTATTCAGAGAGCAGAGCTCCTTAGCATGCATAGAAATGCAAGGAATTGTGTTGATCTGCATAAAATCCTTTGAACTGGAACCAAAAGATTAAAGACCAGTCCCAGCCACCTAGCTGTGTAAGGCACAATACCTCTGCATGAATGATCCAGTTTGTTATACTTGAAATACCCAGGTTTGCACTGGCAAACTGCAATGCCATCCAAGTCTACACACACAGAAGTCTCTTTGTCACATTCCGGATCTTTATGTTTACAGAGACCACCAGCTAGAGAGAGAGAGCGAGAGAGAGAGAGAGAGAGAGAGAGAGAGAGAGAACATTTGCAGTGTTATAACTTTGCTTGGAAAGAAAAAAGCATCTTGGCTGGATTCTTTCTCTGCAGCTACAACTTTTACTTGACTCTGTATTCAGCTTCCCTTTTGAGATGCCAGGTTAAAGGACCAAGCAATACTATGCTTGCTCATCTCTCAAAGAAGAAAAACAAAACCCACCTTGTTTTGTTTCAAGTTACATCAATAAAGCTAAACTTGCAGCTGGGAGGACAGAATCTTTGAAATCCCAAAGTACCCTCTTGTGGTCATCTAAATTGTATGCTTCTAAGAGTCCCACCCAAATAAAAACAACCCTAAGAATATACTGAGTCAGTTGCCAAGCAAAATGGGCATTAAAATGAGAAGCTTAGCTGAAATGAATTTCTACTCTATTAACACTTTTTCTGCGGATGAGACTACAAAAGATTGCCCTGCTCTTCCCTGAGTTTGCATCATTGCTAAATTTCTATATGAAATTTAGCACACAATGCCAGTTAAGTTACTTTTAGAGATAGGAAATGTTATGCCTCTCTGCTTTTTTTCTTTTTATATTCTAGACCCCTCAGGAGGGGTTTATATTATACACCGCCCAGGAAACTCATGCTAAAGATGTGGGATTACATCTACCCCAGCAATTTTCTATATTGGTGCTTTGTTTTTGTTTTTCCTGACTTGCGTGTTTTCTCTGCATGTCCTTCATGAGATGCCAAGCGGAGCGATCCTTTTCATAACGTACCCCAAGTGCAGTGGTGTGATTAGTGCCTTAACTGACTGCTGATCTCCACCAACAGATTAAGCCTCTTGAAAAATCTAACTGCCAGGCTAATTTCAAGTCTTTGTAATTGCTATGTTTAAAAACAAACACACACGTATCCTCCCTGTTTTTTTGGTTCTCAGAATCGTGCTCAGGTCATTTTGACAGGTTCAAACATTGTATCTCTGAGATGAAAAGCCTCACACACAACGACAACAACCCTTCCAGGTATAGAATATTTTTATAATGAGACAAATGTCTTACACATGTTGGAACAGACTTGATCTTTGCATCTGAGCCTCTAGAAGCTTTCAGAAGCCTCCAGCTTCAACCAAGGCAGCTTTGAAGGCAATGTTTTGTAGTTTATTGTAAATAAAGATTATTTCAAAACCTTTTTCATTTTCTTTTTAGAAACTCTGCAATATTTACCTCCATAGAGCTGTGTCAGGTTAGAGATGAATTGGCAGGATGGTGGGGGAGTTTTGCAGGCTTGGATATGGCTTTGCACTGTGCTGATTACTTCAGAAAAGGTGACATTGGAGGCCATGGAAAAGGTGCTCAGGATGGATATTTGAACAGTTCCTGCCTGCCTGAAGAGAGAGTGATCCATTTAAAATCTACCTCCTCCTCCTCCTCTTCCTCCAATAGTCAAAGCATAACATAGATATTTTTGAATCTAACCATTGGAATGTTGTGCCTACAGAAAAAAAGCCTTCCACTCCTGGAAAGACCTTCTTGAGTATATATCAAAAAGCCACCAAAATAGCAGCAACACACCAGCCACATCAAGGGGGGAGAAGAGGAGGAGATCAGAGCATACCCCAGCTCTTTCACTGCTATATGCTCCTTACCTTGAGGCTTTAACAGTTGAAGTATAATAACCAGGCAGTGTGGAAAGAGATTTGTTCAGCTGAAAATAAGAAAAAAAAAAGTTGAACCAAGAACTCTAAGCTTGGCAACCCTGCCTTGAACACAGGATTCACCAAGGACACAATACAGCCAGGCAGCTGCCAATGGCATAAAGCTGCCCTCTTACAGCTGGTCTGTCTCTTCCTTTTCCCTCTGATGCCAGATAGCATCAGGAGGTTTGATTAAAACTTCCAAAAGTGTCTTCACAAGATTCCATTATCAAAAAAGATGTAAAGGAGAATTAGACACTCACCAACTTTATGATAACTCCTTCAATTTGATGTAGCTCTGAGTATGACCCTCCAGTTGTGTTAAACATTAGTGGAAACTGGCCAACAAACGTCCTTACTGAAGATGAGAGGACACCTTGTTAGCTAATACTAAGACTAGGTCCCTCTCTCTTTCCCTCATGCATACACACTCTTACACCTCTTCTTTGCAACAATGAAGTAGAAACGTGACGTTTCATATGCAAGTCAGAGCTTTGACTTTATGGGCTCTGTTGAATATTGCACAGCAGCAGACACAAACAAAGGCATTCGGGGGGGGGGGGGTAAACAAAAACCATCTCTAGGAGGACACAACCAAGAGAGGGTATCATCATCATTATTTGTACTTATAACCTGCCTTTTGGCCCATTGGGCACTCCTGGCAGCTACTACCTTTCCCTTCCAGGGATATTTTTTCCCCTTCTTTTCCCCCAGCTGCCTTCCCAACAGCAAAAAAGATACTTTTCCCAGCCATAAGAGAAAAAGCAGCTGGCATGGGATTTTAACTAGAACAAGTTCTGCAGCCTCTCACCATTTGGTTCAACTGCCTTTGTGTGAGTGCTTGAATTGCAAATGTTCACAGATAGCAGAGAAAACAGAGTGTGGGAATATTCCAGGGGCTGGTAGAAGGACACCAAGGAGGAATGCAGTTCTGGACCTCAGAACAGCTTATCCAACCTGGGTGACCTCCAAGGGTATGGATTTCAACTGCCCAAATACCCCAAAATTCTAGGAATTAAAATTATGGGAGGGTGCTCCAGTCTGGGAAGGTTGCTAGAGAGGCTAAATAATGGAGTTTGGACAGGCTATCAGCATGGGAGGGAAGAAGGAGAGAAAGCTGGTTATCTGTGTAGTAAAGAATGACGGGGAGCTAGAAAAAGACTTGGCTGAGAATTAGTGGAGGTAAAAGGTTTTTGAGATAGAATTATTTTGCTGTGGATATATGGAGAGTTCTAGCATCAGCAGAGAATGAATCTCCCTAGGCTGTGGTCAAGGCGACATGATAATTTGAATTCCCAACATATTACAGAGTCTAGGTTGAGTCAGAAGGCTCTTTGCCAAGGGAGTTTTTCACCAGGTGACCTCTCATGAAGTCTTGATGGAGATGGGGCTGTGCTTTTCATTCATGGCAGTAAGAGTGATCAGTTAAAATACAACCCTAAGAGGTCTGTTTCAGTTTTCACACACACTCCCCGTTTTGGGACCATCAATTTCAATGGAAAAAAATTGAGAAAACAGCGACACAGGATGCAGGGAGAAGAAAGAGGAGGGAGACTCAAATGAATATTTTGCCCTGAAGTTCTCAAAGTCTTAAAAAGACCTTAGTTTAAACCAGATGACGAATAATGTCCAGTACTGTAGCTGGTCCCATGTGAATTGGGTTTATGTGTGTATGTTTTAACAATGGCAGTTGAATCAGTTGTCAAATCAGTGTTTTAGAAGCAAGCTGTCTCACACTCATATTTATCTATATATGAATCCCATAACATTCAGTAATTTGAATCTAATAATCATACCCAAAGGTCATAAGTTAGGCTTAGTTCTGAGGTGTCCATCCTCAACTGTACTGCCACGAATACTGTTAACTGATAATTATACAATAAAACTTTTGAACTGTAATATATAAGGTAATGTAATACAGTGTCAAATTAAGGTCACAAATCAGAAAAATGATGTTAAATGCATTTCTGGTAAGAAAAACTACACTATTTTATAATTAAAAGATTTCAGCTATTATTATTTTGCTCCTTGGCTCTTACCCAAACTGCACTTTCCTTTTCCCATCTGATAGCCCAAGGAACAAATGCATTGGAATGAACCTTGTACATTGGTGCATGTGGCCAAGGTTGGGCAAGGATTAGACAAACATCCATCTACATCTGAAACAGAAGAGAGAAAAAGGATTAAAATGGTCACTGTAGAATGACCATCTATTTCTTCAATAGAAAGCAGTTGCTCCAGGGTGAAAAGAGAAACAGTTGAATTATGGCAAAGTGAGTGACTGGACCATAAATAAATGCATTCAAATGTTGATGTTATGGATGTCATTGAATTTCTGTGGCACAATCTAGGGCAGTAACTCTGAGGTTGGCAGAACCTACTGGGCTATAGGTTGCTCACCTTGCAACTAGAGAAATGCCAGCCCAGCTCCAGATGGAAAGGAAAACTTTAGAGGGATCAATCACACTAGTAAAAAATCTTCTTTATGCCAACAGACCACTACTTTCAACTTCTCAAGTACTGGGTTACCACAAGTTGTACTTGGTACTACACATTTATTGTCTGGAAGATAGCCTGTGCCAGCTGCTAATAATATTGACTACTTGATGTTAAAGACAAAGCTTCTCCACTCAAAAAATTAACTTGAAATAGAAGTTAAGTACTCAAGTACTCAAAATTGTGATTTCAGATTACATGGTGATTACATGAATTCTGTAATTGTGAATGCCTATTGCAAACATTTATTATGAGATTTGAGTGCTTGGGCAACAAAATTATTTTCAGACGTGATAGATATACAGCCTCAAAAATGTTTGGCTAGATGATCTTGAGATCTCTTTTCACTTCCTTCCACTTAATCAAATTGCAAATTGCGATTACAGAGAAGACTCAACATTTCCACCAGGCTTACTTAGCAGTACTTTTAAGTGTTTCTTTGCATATTTGTGTATGCAAAATATTGAAGATATTCATTCATATAATTCAGCATTTTCCATGAAGGCTCATGGCATCTGTGTCCAATCCAAAGCAAACAAAGATAAACCATTTTAGATGTCTTTCTTCCCAAGAGGTTTTACTGGGAAAAGCTTGGGAAATGATGCTGCTGCCTTAAGAATTATATTAGCCTTATTGAATTGACTCTTTAAAACATCTTTTTTTCAGGCTCATGAAAAAGCCTGGGAAAAAATATGGGCTGTTTTAATGAACAGCAGAGAGGTGGTCTGTTTGTGTAAGATTCAAAACACGTCTTCCAATCATATTTAAAGCATATGCAGAGCTATTGCTGGTTCCCAAACCCTATCAAGAGTCAGTACTATTCCGTCTCTGTCTCATTCCTGGAGTCCAATAAGTGAAGTACCACAGAGCCTAATATTGAAAAACAAAGCCCTCTTTGATGTACCTTATATAGGACAAATAAAAACCACAGCATATGTGCTTTACTTCAGGCATAAAAGAATGGAATTTATAAGTCAAGATTCTTGCTTGATTTTACAGCCAGAAAATATCACCACCAAATACTCATTTCTTTTCTGAGCCAAAGGAGCAAATTCAATTCATTACAAAACATCTGTATTTCTAAAACATGAAATATGCCATTTGTGCCTTGAAGTCAGTGTTGACTCCTGCTTTCTTGGCAGCATTTTTTGGAAGTGGCTCACCGCTGCCTTCTTCCTGGGGCTGAGAGAGAGTGACTGGCCCAAAGTCACCCAGCTGGCTTTGTGCCTAAGGTGGGACTAGCACTCACAGTCTCCCACTTTCTAGCTTGGTGCCTGAACCACTACACCAAACTGGCTCTCAGAATACGCTATACAATCCATCAAAATAATGCTATAACATAGCAGCCTGTACCACAAAATGTTGTGATATAAATGGCCCCTGTTTAGAGTCCTGCCAATCCTGCCCTTCTCCCCATACTGTATAAACCATTCTTCCTTTCTCTGTGAATTTTCCATAGCACCCCCAGAAGTCTTTCAGCCTTCTGAGTTCACCGTGATTGCTCAGTTCTTCTTAGGTCTCTCCCCTATACAAGCCTTTGGGTGCCCAAAGTTTGCCTGATGCCATCCTCTCATTTCTTAGCCATCCACGCTTTGCCTAAATTGCTACCCTGACTCAGCACTTGAATTTGCTGTTGTCATATATGCTGCTATTTGTTTTTAAGAAACTGATCTACAAACAATTATTTTTTATCTGTGAGAGTATGGCCTTTTCATAGCTTAAAGATTTCCCTTCTCCATTTTCAAATAACTTTTTAACTCTGTGTGGGGCCTTTATATCTTTTTGTGATCTCCATGAAATTCAGACACTTTTTTTAATCTCTCCAGAATGTTCCCATTCAAATATGCAATTATCTAATGCAAGTCAAATTCATTTTTCAGCCCAATGTTGTTTCCATCATTTTCAAAGAAAATTACCTTTTCCATAGGGAGTTGGGGATATCTTCGGGCTTCCTAGACCCACAGTTATGGTTGGTCTGGGGGGAACCGGTGAAGCAGGAAAAGATTGAACAATGGTTTTGTGAGAAGTTAAGATGTAGGGTGAAGAGGTAATAACAATCCTGGGCACTGTAGTTTTCACAGAAGTTGTACTGCTCTTTTCCATTATTTTTGTCGGTCTTCCAGTAGAATAAGATATTTTGGTAGGAGAGGGCGTCTGAACCTTTTGAAGCTTTGTAGTGAACAAATAATTTGTGGTTGATGCTGAAGTAGGCAATCTTCCAGGTGTGTGTGTTATTTTTGTAATTTTTTTTACCACTGTTACTGTTGATGAATGGGAAGTGTCCTCTTGAAGGGTTGTATGCATTGGTGTAGCCGTTGTTGCTTTTGCTGGCTCAGAAACAGTGGTTATTTCCTGCAAATATGGTGGAGAGGTAGTCATAATGGGTACATTTTCAGTACTGATTCCTGGGAGAGTAAGTGTCTGTCCCTTTGTTTCCTCTTGGGAGGTGGTTCTTGGGGAAGAATGGTTGGCAAGCTGTTCGGTAATTTCAGTCAGAAGAGAAGTTCCAGTTGCCATCAGAATGGTGCTGTTCTCCAATGGATACACTGTAGTCTGGTGGCTGAATTCATCATGGGAACTTCCTGTCATGTGTAGTTCTGCTCCAGTTGTTCTTTCAGGGTCAGTCATAGAAACACTGGTTTCAAGATTTTCACTAGGCTGTAACAACGAAGGCGTTGAAGAATGTGAAGGCAACACAGAGGGAAAGAAAGGCAATGTGGGTGGTTCTGTTGATGAGAGCATGGGTGAAAATGTCATTAGAGATGTTGGTGGAGATGATGATAACAGTAACAGGAAAGCAGAAGAAGAGGATGGGACAGAGGACTTGGCTGAGGAAAACACAGTTGATGGCTGAGCTGGTGGAAGTGAATCCTGCTCTGACAGCATTGTAGAGGAAGATGAAAATGACAAGCTGCCAGTGGATGCAGATTCTGATTCTGAGTAAAACTGAGTTGTGTGTGGTTCACTCACTGTAGAAGAATATTCTGATGTTTTCAGGGAATGGACTGCCAAAGGTTCTGTTGAATTTTCAGAAAAATCCATGTCAGTTGAAAATAAAGGCTGAACAGACTTGGAAGGGTTGGATATTTCTGCAGAGTAAGTGGAACTTCCTGAGGAATCAGCTGATGTGCTGTTGTTTGGAAGAGACAGCAATGTCCTTTCTCCACCCCTGGGAAAGGTAGTTAAGGTGTATGTGCTGTCAGTATGAGAAACAGAGGTCTGTTTTCCAAAGTCGGTACTACTCATTGGTTGGTAATCTGTTCCACTGTCTGAAAAAGAAACAAATCATGATTGACTATTAATATAGACTTTCTATCAATAAGGTAAAAATGAAATAAATGATCGCCTAAGGTACACTTCAAAATAAATCCCACAATCCTGGAACTACTACTTTCTGGTTTACTAGCTCAGAGTACTCTAAACCAAAGAATGGATGATCTTATTACACTGCCTGATTTCTGAGATTTCTTTGTGAGGTCCTTTGTCCCACTGTCTTCTCAGGTATGGTCTTCTGAGATCTGGTCAGAGAGAATGTGTATGTTTTGTTAATAGGACTCATACCAGAGAACATATGATAGCAAGGATGAGCTAGGACATGGCTGGCCCTTACCATTCCACAGGTACGTGATATGTCAAGGTATTCACACTGGTCATCATCAGTCTTTCTGTAATGGCTTTTCCATGTCAAACATTATGGTATGCTGTCCTTCTGAATCCTCTCATAGATTCTGAGACTCAAATGAATGCTTTCCAACTCTATCACCATCATCATCATCATCATCATCATCATCATCATCATCATCATCATCATCTGCCTTATGTTTGCTTCAAAATAGCCCTTCAGAATACTACGATAGGTGGAAATTCTGGGAATTAAACTCTTAAGATATCTAGGGGACAATGGGTTGTGGAAGCTGATCTCCTTGGTCTAGCTGTGGCTGGTCAAAGTCTCAGATGGCCTTTTCCAGCTGCTTTGACCCATTTCTTAAGGAAGAAGCCAGGAGCTCGTCTTGGAACCTTATGTAAGCAAAACATGTGCTAAGAAGCTATGGGTTATCCCATAAAGAGTAAGCTCTTTTCTTCTGGTTGCATGAGCTTCTTAAAGGAGTCTAAACCAAGGGAAATAATGTATTATTTTAGAATGAATTGTCAAATGTACAAATGTATTTTTCATGATATAGGAAAATTCAGGAACAACACAGATAACCAAGTGATTAATGTGGAGAAACCTACTGACTTATTAAGACCCTAGCTTGAAAAATTGAAAAATATCCTGGGAGAAGGCAATAGCAAACCATTTCCATATTATTGGCAAGAAAATAAGATGTGTTGATGTAGTCACCAGGAGTCAGGCTTGACTCAAAAGCATCTTTACTTTTTAGCTTTGGCATACCTGGTAAGAAAAAAAAATCTTATTGCACTTTTTTCATTACAAATGACCAAATAATTTATAACTTAATCCATTGGCAAGTTGGTCATCTTTACTGCAGTACAGAATTCAAGATGAGAATTCATAGAAGTATTAAATATCAGATGTATAACCAATGTGGAACACAGTGACTATTATGCCCATCAACAAGTTATATAATGATACATGTCGGATTCAATGAGAACATTTAATGTTACTTGATCTCAAAGTAAAAAGATTCATCAATTACATTCAAGCTATCAGTGCTTTACTGATTCACCTTTAGATGCATCAAATAAAATATTGTTCAAAAAAACAATGCACTTACATATTCAGGAAAAATAGAAAGGACTTTGATGCTGGCAAGAGATATCAAAGAAAACTAACCTGAAAGTTCACTTTTGAAGGAGGAATAGGCTGTTGAACTAAGAATTTGGAAAGCCTCAGTTGAAGATGGAGAGATATCCAAAACTTTTACAGATAAATCTGTCATTTTAGAATATGTCTTAGATGAAGGTTTTGATCTTGAGCCGTCAAAATTTTCCATGTATAATGAGATGCTTTCAGTCTCTTCAATCACTGTAGTGTTAATTGTAGGTTGTGTAGTTTGCTCTTCCCCTTCACTGAATGGTGCTGAACTGTCAGTGCTGGCTGTGTAAGAATGCAAAACCCTTGGCCCACTAGTTGAATTATGATTGCTTCCAATAGCTGAAATAGTAATTTAGACACATGCATTTAAAATGGCAGATAGTTCAGTATCAGAAGCTGCATTATTTATAATGTTAAGCACAATGAATTATAAATGTATAAATGATAAATTTCAAATGTATTTTGAATTGGAGTACCGCAAGTAATTATATTTGATTGGCTCCGAGTGTACTCTAGTTGCCCTTTAGACCATATACATTACTTCTGCACAACCTAAATCTAAACAAATGATATAGCTCATAATAGAATGTAGGTATTTTGCTTCTGCATATATGTCCATCAGTCCACATTTTTCCTTTGTTCTTTGCCATAAAGAAAACTTACTTGATGAATCATTTGGTGACAAGGATGTAGGAACTACAGAGGAATATTCCAGTGAGTACTCAGTAGAAGGTCCAACAGATTGCACTTCACTTAATGAGACATTACGCTTTTCTGTTTCAGTCACTGAAGTCAAGGTCAAGCTTCCACCTGAAGATTTGGAAGTTTGGGAACTGTAAGTGTTGCTACCTGCTGCATCGTCAGATGTGCTGTTGTCCGGTAGGGATCTTAAAGTCCTTTCTGCCCCATGTACAAATGTGGTTGATAGATAGATACTGTCTGTAGAAGTAATAGAAAGTCTTCTTCCTGCCCCTGATCCCTTAATGGTTTGAAAATGGTTTGCAGAGCCTAAAATAAGATTAAAAATTCAGATTTCATAAGCATATCTTGTACAATATGTTCAAACATTACAAGTCAGATTAAGGAGCATAATAAAATAACTGACTCTGAACGATTTCCAGTTAATGCAACACAGCATGGTTATAGTCAGTCCAGAGAAACATGCTGTGAACTAAACTTCTAGACATAATCACTATATCCTTATTATATAGGCTTTTTTAAAATTTCTATTCTTATTGTGACTTTGTGCTAATCTTATGTACAGTTTAGTAGAAAAGGTGAGGTTCAGTTCATCTGCCTTTTACCAATCTTTTAGTAGGTAATGGTTATAAAGAGATGTTTGTATTTACAGTATGTATTATCTGATTCACCCAATAACTACTCAGATTGTCTGGGTGGAATTTTTTTTTTTTTTTTGGTGCCTTCAAGTCATTGTTGACTCTTAGTGACTGCCTGGACAAGCCCCTGCAGTTTTCTTAGCAAGATTTCGGAAGTGGTTTTCCCTTGTCTCTTTCCTAGGGCTGAGAGAGAGTGACTGGCCCAAGGCCACCCAGCTGGTTTTGTGCCTCAGGTGGGACTAGAACTCCCAGTCTCCCGCTTTCTAGCCCAGTGCCTTAACCACTACGCTAAATTGGCTCTCTGGGTGGATTATAAAATAACTTTTGCTTGTCACTGCAATATTTTCAATTAGTTTGTACTTGCATGTAAAGAGACACTTTTTTAAAAAAAATGGAATCTTATGCAGAACATAGTTACCAATGTCTAATTAACAAGCATTTGATTTTTTCCCCCAGTATTACTATAGAATCAGAAATAACTCAACTTTCACTTATGACAGTTAATACCTTTTTATATTATTATGTATTTTCACAGATCATCTCAATGAATAAATTTTCCAAGACACTCTACAAGGAAGGCATATGTTTGCCAACTGAAAAATGGTCTTCCCTTTAACCACCAACAAGTGCTGCTTTTAAGTAGCATTTTACATCACAACCTTGTTTTCC